ATGTACTAAGCAGGAAGTTTGATGGAAACCTGCAGATTGCTGGAGATTAGAGAGTTCACAGAAAATTGTTTTGCAAATATCTTCTCAACTGAGATGCTTAGGCATGAAAATAGCCTCTCAAACCCAGAATTCTCTATAAATAGATTAGAATGCATGAAAATATATTACTAATCTGATGGTGCATATTTGTTTTTGTGTATGTTTTATAGTACTTGTGCTTTGTTTTCGCTTAGGAGTTATGGAGTAATAAACTGAAAAGAGTCAGATTTTTGTACTGATGCACAACGAAGTCTCACATACTGATATTTTAATACTTGATTTGTGGCTAGCACAACATGCAGTGTTATCTAGAATATTAATGTTTACTAAATTTAACACCAACTGCTACTGCTACCCTGAAATGTGCTTTGCAAAGAAAAGACTGCCTTTGTATATTCAGTCTTTTTTCCTACATGTGAGCTATTTGCAAGCTAAAGGAATGGTGCTAGGATATGCTATTTTAAAAGACATTCTGAAGTACTTTTAGTTAACACAAACTAGTGTTTTAATTACAAAGAATGCAATTTGCTTAAAATAATCAACTGAAAAGAAATTCTACTCTAAAAAAGCTTCAAAAAGTTACGTTTTGTGTCAGGAGATAAATATTTCGTAGCCTGGTCTGACCTTTTGCAATCAGGATATTTTTGTTGTGGAGTTTTAGTCTCTGGCTGAAATTTACTTTTTTAGACCTAAACAGCTCAGTAGAAGAGAAGTATACTTGAAGGAGGTGAGACTTCCTCAGGCTGAGGCTTTTTTGAACTTTCTGTCATAGGTATGTGTTTAAAGTCTCTCAAAAGAAGTAGAAGGAAAATAACATTCTGTTGAGAGAAGGTGGTTTACTGTTTATTTTTAAATAGTCTAGGTATTTCTGGCAGTCTGTTGGGTTTTCGCATGACGTTTAGATGCGGGATTATTTTAAGTTCTTTCCTCATCCTTGTGAAGTTTTTTTCTGCTTGCGTATTTATAAGCCTTACATAGTGCGTACCCTTTCAATGAGGACAAAGTGAGCAATTTATTTTGAGGACGGAAACGGGATTTTTTTTGCTTTTTCTGCTTCTCATGCCAATCTGTCTGTTGTTGCCAAATGCACGCTAAATAGGTCATTCCAGCAGAAATCCTTGCATTAAGAAGCAAAGAGCAAATCCATGTTGGTGGTGTTATGCATTTAAACAATCATGGATTCATTTAGGTTGGAAAAGACCTTTAAGAGCATTGACTCCAACCATTTAACCCAGCACTGCCAAGTCCAGCAGTGTCCTTAAGTGCCACATGCATGTGTCTTTTTAAATGCCTCCAGGGTGGTGACTCAATCACTTTTCTGGGCAGACTATTCCAATGCTTTGAAACCCTTTCTGTGAATAAACTTTTCCTAATAACCAATCTAAACATCCCCTGGCACAACTTGAGACCTTTGCCTCTGCTCCTGTCACTTCTTATGTAGGAGAAGAGACTGTCCTGCACCTGGCTTACACCTTCCTTTCAGGTGGTTGTGGACAGCAGTGAGATTCCCCGAGTCCTCTTTTTTCCAGGCTAAACACCCCCAGCTCTCTCACTCACTTCTCATAGGGCTTGTGCTCCTGATCCTTCACCAGCTCCATTTCCATCTCCACCACCTCAATGTCTTTCTTGTGGTGAGGTGGACAAAACTGAACAGAGGACTTGAGGTGTGGCACCATCAGTGCTGAGAACAGGGGGATGATCAGTGCCCTGGTCCTGCTGGCTACACTGCTTCTCTCTAAATTTTAGGTAGGCACCATCATGCACACAGTGTCTTTCTGACCACTTTTTCCACTTCTATTCTTCCTTGTTCAGAAGTTGTACATGAGTACAGCTTGCTGTGCTTTGTTTGTCTGATGTAACTGTAGTGAAGAAGGAGGGTACAGTCCTTCTCTGGCAGCAGCTTCACACTTAGATTGGATTAAGTGTAATGTGAAACCATACCTGAAATAATTGGTTTTATGCTGCTAGAGGTTTTCATGGAGACATACAAGTTTATTAAGGTGCATACATGCCTTCAAAAGGAAACAGTTTTAGTTGCTGCCAATGTTTTGAAATATGCGTGTTTTTTTCTTTGCTGGCCCACCTTTGAAACTGGTCATGTTTACATAAATCTGAAGCAAGGGCTACTTAATAATGTGTCTTTTGATTTCTAATCTTGATTTCTCATCCGTGTGTGCTGTAGCTACAGAATAGTTTATTTCCTGATTGCAGCTCACTCTCTATGCACTCTCAGGTACTGAAGTAGAAATCCATGCAAGGAACAGTAGTTGCAAAAACATAAAGGATCTTGCAGTCATAAAAGAGTGCTTTCATTTACTAGTGTTCATAAATTGAATCAGTGATATTTACACCCTGTAACTGCTGATGTTTTAATAAAAGATGAATATTTCATAAGGGAGCCGGGTTTTGTGGCACTGGTGAGGTCAAACTAAGCAGATGGAAGTCCAGCAGTCTTCCCCTCTGGTTTGAGAGGAGAAGCATCTTGGACGCATGTGACCATATAGCAACAAGTCTCCACAGCCTCCCTGAGGAAGCAGCAAAAGTTCATGGTTGTAAGTGGAGGGAAAACCTGGAATTTTCTCTGTCCTTGCTGAAATCAAGGGCCCCCATGGGTGGTGAAGAGCCTGTGATGCTGCCAGGCCAGGCTCCGTGCCCTACGGGGATTTTTTTGTCCCGGAAAAGAATGCTAGCAGACAGTGTACTTTCAAAGACAGAACCAAAAGTACTTTTGGTTCCTTAATTCATTTCACATCTACACCAAACTTGCAAAAGTCATTCTCTAATCCTGTTTCAGTGCTCTGGGGACTGATGATAGGGATACTGCAAACTGGCATGGACGATTCTTGCTGCAAAGGGTTAATTTTGAACTGTACAACAGGCTAACCTTTACTTCATGGGGTGAAGCAGTCAGTGATTGCTTATCACTGATCACATGAGATTTGAGCAGGTACAGAGATGCAAAGTGGGTGGGTTAATATTTTGAACAGCCTGGCTGATCAAGCACATCAATGGGAATAAATTCCTGTGCAGAAAGCCAGGATGCTCGCTAACCTTTATAGTCTGTTTTTTGCTGAAAGAGCATATGTTTTGTGCAGAACAGAAGCCAACACAAAGCGTTTTTCTCTGGCTGCGTGTATGATTTTGGTGATAGAAATGTAGTTGCTCGAAATTAAAATCCCATTCATCCTGCATGGGAGTCCTCAGTCTGATTGAAGAGATGGGGCTTTGCAAAGCAATCTGAGTCATTTTTTGGAGATACAGGCAGATCTATACAAGCACTTCATTCTGGAAAGATAATTGTTCATAGATATGAGGAAGTATATCTGTTAAATAGTCTTTTAGTTCCAGTTCACAAATTATAAGCCCCGTGATAAAAAAATTTGTAAACACCAGGTTATTTTTGCCATGGAGGAGATTAAAAAAAGCAGTAGGAATGGCTGGTATGTTTTGTGGTTCAGGGCAGTGGGGGTTGGATAGTGAGGACAATTTTATGCATAGTTTAGGGGAGAAAACTGCTGAACGTTACTTTTGCTCTCTGTTGTCATTAGGGGACTTGTATATTCATACAAACACTGCTGGGATTTTCAATATTTCTTTTTGCTATCTTAGCGACAAGATTGCAGAAGTTTAAAATACAGTAGCAAAGCTCTTGTTACCCAAGTTCTTAGGGTTAATACCCATGAAAAACAAGAGGTTTGCCAATTAGGTGTTTCATCCCTACTGAATGATAACTGTGCTTTCCTTAAGTCACAACAGTTGAGGCTGCCATGGAGTGACAAGACCTGGGCTTCCCTTCAGTGTTATTTAATGTTTCACTTTGACATTATGTAAATACTCTGCTATTAGGGAATAAAATGACATAAAATTGCATCCTTTCTCAACAAGGTTTAAAGTTCTTTCTGTAGCTTCTCTCCTTTTTGAAGCTGTAATAAAGATCATAATTAGAATCCCAGTTGCTTAAGTGAGAAATTAACGTGTTCTTATATGCTGAGCTGAGCCAGATTCCCAGTGAGACCCCCTCCAGGTATCTGTCCTGCCCCAAAATGCTTTCCCTAATACCAATTTACGTTCTAGACATATTAAAGAAAATCATATTCATTGCTACCTAGCAGTTAATCAGAGCCTTCAGACAGGCTTGAAATAATTTCCAGCCAACTGCCAAAACCACCTGCAGCCGTTCATTTCCCATCGCCATTCCCGGGCATGCTTTAAAAGTAATCAGAGTGTCAGTCCATTGCCCAGTAGTACCAGGACTGAACAAATTCATTCCATGCATGTCCTTCAAACTTAAAAATTTATCCCAAATCCTGCTTAACCCCATGGCTGACCTCCTTGCTTACTGTCTTCTGGGCTGTGGCCAAGCAAACAAAAATCTAAAGGTTTTGATCTGATGTTTTCTCTGTCAAAAATGTCTTTTCCTAAAGTTGTTTTTTTTTTTTTAAATAACTGGATGCAAATATATATACCTTATCTATTAATATATATTTTACTTTGAAAATAAGATTCTAGCAGATTGGAATAAATTAAAACCTTAATGGGGCTTAAATAAACCTAATTTGTAATTTAATTAAAAACAGAAAGCAATAAGCACTAACACTTAACAAAAAAAAATACATTTTCATGGTGCAAAATACAGATTTAATTTCCAAATAAGTGAATGGTAGCCTGTAATTGTATCATGTGCAAGAAGACACTCAGAACATATGAAACAGTAGTCACAGATTTTGCAGTCAAGATGTTCCCTTTCTGGTTTTCCAAATAGTAGCAGAAGATACCAATGGGTAAAACAAATAAAATACTGTCTTCATTATTGACCAAGCTGGAGATTTGGTATTGGTGGGAGATGGATTCAGGTATCTCTCTATGTCTCTCTCTCCCTCTCCTAAATGGTGAATTTTTATGTTTTGGCACATCTAGCAAGTTCTGCCTGACATGTTTTTGATGTGCTTTTGTTTCCACAGGCCAAGGCTGCAAGCACAAAGGAAGTTTGCTCAGTCCCAGCCAAACAGTCCCAGCACAACTCCAATAAAGATAGTGGAGCCGTTGTTACCCCCTCCTGCCACTCAGATTTCTGACCTCTCCAAAAGGAAGCCCAAGACAGAAGATTTTCTCACTTTCCTCTGTCTTCGAGGTAGGTGTCTGGCAGCTGCGCTGGGGCACAGTCTCATTCTCAGAGAAGGAGCTGTAGCACTGCACACCACAGCAGCCAGACAAATGTACCGGAGCTGCACTTGAAGGTATTGTGTGCATTTCAGCTCTCAGCAATTTGACTGTATCTGCAGCAGGAGCATTCGAGTTCATGGTTCTAAAGATCATAAAATGAGACTGGTAATAGTGCAAAAATAAAATTCTTTTATGCTTGGCTCTCTGTTACCCTGAATGGGTTTTTGTCTAGCTCTCTTAGGTCCTCCCCATCCTCCTTTGTTTTGTCTGACTGTAAACTGAAGAAGTCCTTAACTTGCCTGAGTACTTGTTCCTGCAAGAGAAAATCTGCTTGGAAATCCCCCTTCTCTACCTACTCACTGTCCTTTATTGTTCAATCTAAGTGAGGCTTTTCATCTGACAGTGGGTGAAGGGCTTGCTATTGTTCTTGTCTGCCTCAGGAGCTGGATTGTTCCTGTGGTGATAATTAAAACAGGTGAGCTCCTCCTCTCAGCAATCCAGCTACAAACGAGGTATCTGAAATTGTGGAGTGAAATACTTTGAACTGCCTCACAGTAACAGGTGCTTGAGCTTGGCTGGAGCTGTGGAGGTATGTCAGGGATCCATGGGCTGTGTGTCTGCAAGCCTGCACATATCAGACTTGGGGGGCCTGAGTGTGAGGTACAGCTCACTGTCTAGATTAAGCTAGAGAAGGAGATGTTATTCAAGTGGTCATTTTTCTTAAGACTTTCCATGGCCCTGTGTCCCATGTCATGTACTGAAGATAGCATTATTCAGTTTAATCCCTCAATTGTCATGTTATCTCTTGCTGTAGGTGTTTCTATAACTGCGTCCCCTGTCTCACTAGTTAGTCCTAAGTGCTTCCTCTGTGCTGGAATGATGCCTCTTGCTGTTGTTTTGGCCCATTACCTGCTGAAAGGGTGTGCATTCGTTACAGATAGGGCTTGTCTCCAAAAGTCTTACCTAGTGGGTTGAATCTTTCAGAGCTTGCCTTTGAGTGCCCCTTTCTTAGGTCTCTGTTGCATCTGTGGACAGCAGTGATCAACACCACCCGTAGCTTCCTGCTGAGGCTTTCTCACCTTAATGCAGTGTGATTTGATTTCTTTTTTCTTTTCCTCTGTAAGATTTTAGGCTGCTGGTACTTTCAGACTGGTTGTTAATTTATCTATCTTACTTCACAACCAGTATGGAGCCTCCATCCTGTTGGGACCTCCAGTGAAGTGGGTGGGTGCAGGGGATAGAGGAGGGTGGTTTGCTAGCTTTTGTGTTTGTTTAAAGGATGGAGAGGAGCAGAATCTAATGGAGTTTAAAGTGGCATCATGGTCCTCTGAAATTTAATCTGTGGAAATGTATTTCTAATTTAGTGTGGTGTGAGGTTGATCAGTCTGTTGGCAGCGTGTCACTGCTGTGATCTGGGCCAACTGCCACAGTTGTTGGTGGAAAGAGTCAGATGGGGGTTGTGTGTGTGTGTGTGTGTGTGAGCACACATGGCTGCATTCACACACTTGTTTCCACTGCTTGCTAACTAAGCATGTGTTATTTATAGCTTTGAAGGCACTTGCACTTACAGAAAGGCAACCTGTGTGGGGGTGTCACTTATCTCCACTTCTGTTTCCTATTCTCTTAGCACTCTTTTAGTGTTCTGGTTTAACAATGCAAATGGGAAGCACAGGTACTTTAGTCCTATTCCAGTGCTTCATGTTGTTGGGGTTTTTATTTTTTTTTTTTTATTTAAATCAGTGGCTGTTTAGCTCTCGCACCTGTAATTTTCTCCTTTGTTATTCATCTGTGGCATAATTGATGTTTTGTACTGTCAATTAAGAACTTGCAATTCATTCCTAATTTCTTCAGTATGAAGGAGTACTGAACATTTCTGACAACACATGTGTTCAGACTGCAAGATCACAATTACAATTATGTTAAAAACCACAAGGGAAAGTCTGCTCTGAGTGCCACACATGGCACATTCTTGGTCTGCTTAAACAGTCTGAAGAAAAGCAGAAAGGGAAAGCTGTCAGCTTTGTGTTTCAGCACCCCCACAAGCTTATTCCTCTATCACCCCACTATAAAATATAACAAGAACCAGTTAAAAAGAGGCAGGAGGATCTTCTTGGACACCTGCTACCTGGATGCTTCTCTGTGGAGGAGTAGGAGAGCGCTGTGGCTTGGAGGGAGGAAGTGGGTTGTTGAGTCTTGAATTAGCATGGTTCTGGCTTTTGTGCCTTCAGGAGGTCCTGTCTGCCTGAGGTTGTGTCCATTTGGCCTCTGGGAATGTTAGCTCCAGTTGGGTGGCTGTCTCTTTTGATGTGTCCATTTCAAAACAAGGAGATGGAAGCTGGTTGTTAATATGCTGGTAGGGTGTTCGTGTAGCAATGTGCTGGTACTCCAGCTCCAGAAAGGTCCCACAAGTAACTTTCCAGGGTATTGGCAGGCTTAGTTTGGTGCTACTCTTCTGGTAGTGCCTAGTGAGCTTGGATAGGGAAGAGCCAGCAAGTTACTAAGACCCTGCATAGGGAGAACTTGGGATTTTTTTGGAAGGAGTTATTTTGATTTGGAACCTCCATGCTATTATTGAAGCGTTGAGGGTTTCAGAATTGTTTCCATGGTGGGGCAGGTGGTTGTTCTGACTTCTGTCCAGCTGTATGTGTCCAGCCTTGGCTTCTTGTGCTTTCACCATGAAAACAATGTGACATGCAGTTAGTTGTATGGAAATAAGAGCACACTCACAGAGTTGACGTTCAGCACTTCGAAAATATTAAGCATAGTAGCGATAAGTTCCAGGACAGTAAATCCCCATGATTGTTTTATAAAAAAATCAAGTTTGGACTATCTTAGGTCCTTCAGAATGATCTGGTGATATAATCCCTGTATTCACAATCAAAGCCTTTTTTGGGGCAAAGGATTCTTTCCTGGGATTGGTGGGAATGCAGCTCTCTGCCCTTGTCCCACCACACCCAGCAGTGGTGTCAGAAGCACAGCGTAAATTTGTCACACCATAGAATCATGAATCACTAAGGGTGGAAAACACCTTCAAGATCACCAAGTCCAACCTCTGACTGAATTCCACCGTGAATTCACATGTCCGTGTGTGCTTCCATTTTCTGTTTTTAAACAGAGGGATTTAAACATCCTGTCACCGCTACACTACTCATTGTTCTTGTGGGGTTTATTTTGAGTGGGAGCAGCTTAATTCTGTCAGTGAAGGAGTAATGCTATCATGCTACAGTGTGGAAGAAAGGCCCTTGACATGCATAAGATCCCACAGTTAGGAGAAGTCCCATTTACCTATCCTGCTGTGTGTAAGAAAATGTAATGATTCAAATAATTTTACATCCTCCCCCCCCCATTAGCACCCTGTAATTTCAAAGGGAAATAATTTAACCAAGATGACCTGCGTGGTTTCATTATCCAGAACACTAAGGTTTTAGACATATTTTAATTAGTTTGTTTTTCAAACTCTTGATTTGATAATACACTGTACTAATTACTTCTTAAAAGGTAAGTGGAGCACAATGAAAAAGCTGTAACAGTTGATGAATATCTGAGCAACCTGGAATACATTTCTAGACTGACCAAACTTGGCAAGGCTCTTCTGCTTTCTATTATTCTAAAATTCTCCTTTTAAAACGGTTGGTGTTTTCTTTTAATTTTATTAAATTGTGACCTAGAATTTTCAACACAAGGAGGAGAATAGTACAGATATCTCTGAAGTGTTTGTCTGCAGTGTTCTTATCTTTAAATAGCTTCTTTGAAGGAGCCCATATGCCCTTTGCCAGAGGCATAATTAGTATCTTTCAGCAGCGCGTAGATACGAGCGTGTCATCTACGTGTGGTTGTACAACAGTTCTCACTTTTACTGCGTTTTCTGCCTGTGATCATATTGTTCCTAATAGCTCCTGTTACAGTGCATTTAAGTTACCTTTGCTCCCTGTAATTATTTACAGGTTAAAATATTGTGAGTCAAATATCAGGCTAAAGGAGGAAGGAGAAACAACTCCCTGTGAGCAAGCGATCTTTGGCAGAAGGTGATAACAGGAAGGCTATGATTAGGAGAGTACATTTTAAGAAGTTTTCCCATGATCAATTTTCTAATTAAGCTGAGCCTCTGGGAGTTACATGCTAGAGAATTTCAGGGATTCCTAAATAAAAATGGTTTAATTGAGATCTCACAAATTGAGTTTTCAGGCTCTTATATTCTGCAAGACGTGTGATTGTTCTTTTTCTTTGATTGCTATGCTGACTTAATAATCTGATTTTATTACAACTGGGCAAAATCAAAATAGAAAATTTCACTGTAGCATGTTTGTCTGAACCTCACTAACTTCTAACTTTCAGTGCAGTGTGCTCTTAAACAGGTTTTTTATTCTTTTAAACACTTGTATTTGGGTGGTAAAAAGGGCTAGGGGCCTTTGATCCGAGTCTTTTTTGAGTCCTGATAGGAGAGGTTGACTGTCAGTTTATACCTACAGAGATTTTGAATTACAATGGAAGAGTCCCCAGAACCAAAATGTGGGAGTTCTTAAAACGTTAGAAAACAACTGTCTGAAACGTTTGAAAACAACTGTTAATTTGCCTATCTTTCAGCAAGGCAAAAGGTATGTTTGCATGTTGGTTTGGTGTCAGTAGGTTCTGTAGTCAATGTGTGCTGTACTTGGAGAGCTGCTGACTTGTGCTGGTCACATTCTTGAAGCACCAGCCATTGGCGCCATGGAGACTTGCTCACCACATCAGAGTAAGCAGATTGAATAGCACAGCAACTTGATTAGGCTGGAAACAAAGCAATGAAATGGAAACAAAGTCCAAAAAGTATGAGCTTCTTTGCAGTCTGGGTTAGTTTTTATAATTCCAAAATAATATTAAAAAATGCAGACACACAATAATTTTTTTTGAAATAAATAATAATTTGTTTGAAATGCTGGAAGAAAATTTTTTTTATTGATTTTGTTATTATATCATTTAGTATCTGAA